TGACCCCCTGTTTGTGGTTTGATTATATCAAACATTCATTTGTCTAGTGTTTGAATGATTACAACTCATCTCTGGAGACAGAGTACCAGACATTTGATTAACAATTAATGCAAATCTAACGTAAATCTTATGATCAATGAGTTATGGAAATAATAAAACATTAATTTTAATGTTGACAGATCTGTTGAAAACTGGGATTTGAATATTTAATTATCATTTAATATGATTTACATTAAACTGTATAACGAAAGACTATTTTAATTCATATTAATTTGATTTATATTTAAATCAATTAACGATTTGAATGAATTATTTACACGAAAATTATAGTTGTATTTATTTCATATCAATTCAAGTATTCAAACATTTTGAGACACAAACAATTGATCCCTATATAAAACATGTCTAACAATGTATGAAATCGATGCCATTGTTTTGGTTCTTCAGCCGTCGATCAACACATTGTTTATCACAAAATAAGACAATAAAAACTTTTCCACAAAATTTTTCAAAGAATTTACGCTAAATATTATTGAAAAGAGAAAGAAAAATAGGGACGGAGTGAAGAGAATAGACTTTTTGCAACTTATGTTGGATTCGGCAGAAAATGATATGACTCTCGACAGTGAAAATCACGACGAGAAGGATAAGGAGAAATACAAAGAAATACAGACAACCGATGACATCGAAAAAAGTAATAATTATTACAATTCTCTCTCTCTCTCTCTCTCTCTCTCTCTCATAACCGGCCAAAAAGAAAAGCATGCATTGACCGATCAGTTCATCCGATGTTTTATATTCTCTCTCTCTCTCTCTCTCTCTCTCTCTCTCTTTCATTTATAATAATAAACATTTAATATTAATACTTCTATTAAAATAGCGCTAACATCGGATGAACTGATCGGTCAATGCATGCTTTTCTTTTTGGCCGGTTATGAGACGTCCGCCACAACAATGGCTTTATGTCTGAACCAAATCGCAAAACATCCAGAAATGCAGCAAAAACTATATCTCGAATCGAAAAAATATTTTAATGAATTCGTGAGTTATTTGTCAAAACATTACTATAATTATTTTTATTAACAAAACTAATATTTAAATTCTACAGAAAGGCGTCGATTACGATGAGTTAAATTCATTAAAATATTTAAATGCCGTTATAATGGAGACACAGCGTCTGTTTCCGGCCGCTACGGTTCCCAACGAAGACTATGTACTAAATGGCACCGGAATTACCATCAAAAAGGATAACATCGTTCACATCCCGACGTATGCCATGCATAGAGACCCTGAATATTTTGCCGACCCAGATCACTTTAAACCGGAGAGGTTTTTGGCCGAAAACATAGCACACCATCCGTACGCATACCTGCCGTTCGGCGCCGGACCTCGAAATTGCGTTGGCATGAGATTAGCGCAGATGGAGATCAGACTCGCACTCATATCTGTGGTCAATAGATATCGTTTCTATCCCTCAGAGGTTTGTTTTGTGTTTATATGGTTTGAGAATAACTTATAATGTTTTAAACGTGTGTTTATATCGCATATTACAGAAACCATTGGAGTTTTACTTCACGGGAGGACTACTCGTTCCCAAATCAGTGGACGTCAGAGTAGAGCGAAGGGTCTGATTGTCTCATATAATTTATAACTACTCTTAAAACAATAAATCACAATTAAATACCAGAATTTGTGTTACAATTTCATTATACATTACCCGTCAGTGTTTGAAACAATCAAAAGTGAGTGCAAACTATATAACAATCACAAACTGCGCGCGTATTCAAGCGTTTGAATGCACTTTGGATTGCATTGAATTCACTGAACAGTTGTCCACAAAACACACCATCAATCCATTCATTCAACACTTAATGATCACTGATTTGAAGTGAATTACAACTGAAGTGAAGACAACTGAAACGATTGAATGGCTTCTCGTTTTGACCGATTGGTTGATCTGACGGATGACCGCAAAATCAACGGCGTTTCCGCTGATGAATACAAGTGTGGTATTTGTCACAATCTCTTGGACTATGCGGTCGACACGCAATGCACACACACACACACATTCTGCTACAACTGTGTCCACCAATTATTGCTGTATAGATCCGGATCTGATGTCAAATGTCCTGAATGTCAAGATCGGTTGCCCACAACTGTGACCCGAAAGCGTACGGCAAGCGCTCAAAATGTGGTCATCGCTGGAGGACTCATGCTTTCAGTCAATCCGTGTCGTCGTCTCAACAATATTATCGGTGGATTGCGGATCAGATGCCAACACACGTGGAACGGATGCACACATGTGTGTCCAGTGGAGTCAATGGCCGCACATCACAACAATTGTGAGCACAGGTTGTGCGACACGTGTGGTCACGCGGCGGGTGAGAGCGCCGATCAGCACAACTGTAAAGAGCTATTCATGAAAGAGCGCAACGAATTGACGAAAGACCGGAACGAATGGAAGCATAAGTTTGAAGCCGTCGTCAAAGAAAAGGAAGAGATGAGCGAAAACTTGGCCGAAATGTCTGTCGATTGGATTGACATTAATTCCCAGTCATTCGTGAAGACATTGAGTGCCAAATATGTACTGATCGGTAACTACTGGATGAGCTGTCCATCTATAGAAATGCTTAATTTCGGGATTAGCCTCAAAGTGGTCGTCAATAACTCGTGGGTTACATACAATCTGATGGTTCCGTTCGATGATATCCAGAGTCTAGGCATTTGTGCCGACCCTTCGCTACCACTCATTGTATTTAAACCGACCGCAGAATCGGCGCTTAAGATTGCCGATCGTTTCTCGTTACCCACCGATGTATTTGATGTCAATCCAAACGGTTTGTATTTGAAGTTTAATAACCTTTTGTACGCCAATTAATTGATTGTTTTGTTTTCCATCATTTGTCAGATAATCGTCGAAACAATATTACGATTGTTTTGGAGAAACAAACATTGAATCCATTGTTTACGACACTATTCCTGACGAGCGGTCGACTAGTGAACAGTGACTGCGATTTTGAGACAATGGATGCGACCGAAGGACAGGCCCTATTGGCCGCACGTTATTAATTCAATGGACAACTCTTTGGATATAATTATTACTGTTTAATGTCTACTAGATTTTCATTCAATATTACTTTATTTTAATTATATATTGTTTGCTTCAATGTTTACTCCATTGACAACACTTATACTAAATTTTATACATATTAATTTTTTAACATTTATTTGGTTTTATAATCTATTTTTAATTTTAACCAATTGTTATATTTATTTAGTTTTAAATGCCTATAATTAATAAAATTGAATTTATATTGTATTTAATTTATAAAATGATTTCCAATAATAATTTATACCCTTTTAATTGAATAGTTTTACAATATTCAACATAATTGCCAAAAATGTGGTCAATTTTTTGTTAATTCCGGAGATAATTCGTACAAATATATTATTTATATTGAATTTAATTCATTATTTAAAATTTATTATAAATCAATCAAATGTTTTAATTTATTTTAAATCATTTGTATTTATGTAAAAGTAATTTTATTCTTATCATTCATTCATTATACATTCATATATATGTATAATTCAATAGAAATAAAATCTTAATTATTAAACAAAGTACAGTATTTATATATTGATATCTAATACTGGAAACAAAACAAACATTAAATAAATGGAATTATTGTTCACTAATTGTGGGATCAGTTCGTGGTCTTAACGATCGCCTGAAGTCTTTGTTTATCATTTCGTTTAGCAATAGTTTTTGTTGGGAACCAAACATCGGAACCGCGACAACACGTCTTAGGCTGTGATTGGAGGCGTCGTTGGGCTCGTCCTCGGGTTCGGTGGACGAAGAGTCGCGAGGGGTTTGCGGTCGAGATCTGCGGCCGAGTGTCGGCGACGACCACAAGGGTTTGGTCGCGTTGTCGAT